AATGTTTGCTGATTGGGATTTGCAGTACTAACTGCAAAGTTTGGGGGATGGGGATTTGCCCCTGCTTCTCTCTAGGTATGTACAAAAATCGAAAGGCCCACTCACTTTGTGCCTAGAAGCCCCTGGCTGCGGATCCTTCTCCGAACGACGTGACATTCCGAGGAGTGTCTTCCGGAACATCACCGCCGCTCGGTGTGCGACAAAGAAAACGCGTTCAAGCATCTTGTAGCGGCAACAAACACGCGTGTTAAAGGCGCTTTAGCCTTTTAGGTGTGGGGCTAGGCGAGATCTGAATATCTTTTGGGTCCAGGTATGGATGGCACTTGGGGTGATCCCTGGCACGCCAGGAGGGCGACATGGTCATCGTTCAGACTTTGAAAAGGGATAAATCAGACGGGACACAGACAGGAGGAGCAGTGAATCATCATTGCCAGCAGCCCAAAACAGTGGAAATGCTGCGAACCACACTTTTGCAGCTTTGCTCGCTTTGCTCGACTATATTATGACTCAGTGAAGTAAAGTAAAGGAAGTTCGCTTTCAAGTGCGCTAAAGACTTACAAATGGTCTTCGACTCTCAGGGAATTCAAATGAATTCAATAAGTTCAATAAGGATACACTCGCCCAGCAAAACCTTCACTCGCTCCCGCATCAACATGGAGAAATCGCGTTTTGGAGATCTGTCTTTCATGACAAACCTTTTCAGAAAACTGCCTTTTCAGGTGACCGTTGGACGGTTTCATCCTCGAACAAACCGCTGGAGAGACAAGACGACGGTGTGCCACGTGTGCGTTTCCAGAGGATGACGAAGACTTGAGGGAAACCCCGGGCAGCGACCAACGATGAAGTGTTTTCTTCAACCTTCTAGTGATGGCCTCGACCCTAGTAGCGAAGTGTTCTCCAGTCGTGGTAAGGAACTGGTGGACTGTGTGCAATGTCAACGATGTCGCCTCCACGCGAAGCTCTTCTCCTTGGGTCTTGGGACGGTGTCTGGACCGATGGAGAGGGGAGGAGGCTTGGGGAAAAGAATTGCAACCTGCTGTTTGGGATGGGATTTGCCAATATAGATCAATATAGCTATATGAGCCAAAACTTCCGTACATGCACTTTAGTCATGACCCGCCTCAAGTATTTCTGAATTTGGGACCACGAAGTGTTGTCTGCCACTCATGAGATGGATTTGATTTGATCAAAGCATGCGAGGTCCATCTCATTCAAGGTCCATTGGGGTTGCACATCACGTGTTTTTTTCATGCGTTTTTTTGGTGTCAACAGGGTCGGCCGCACAGACCTTGCAGTAGCTACAGCTGTAGCTGTAGGCGACCGAACGGCCACGTCCCGGTTCATGCGATCTTCTCAGTCCCTCCAAGAGGTCGACACCTGCTACAACCGAGACCTGCTTAGGCCTCAACCCCTCAAGAAATGGCCGGTGGGAGGAGCTACTAGTAGCTTCTTGCTACTATACTACTAACATCCTCCAACCTAATAGCAATGGCCTCCAACCTAGTAACTAGGGTCCTGGGATAGTTGCTCTAGTTTGTCCTTTCATGTTCTTTTGTGTCCTTTTCCTGTCCTCTTCCCGTCCTCTTCCCTTCGCGCATCTTATGGATTTGTGGAAGGTTCTCTCCCTCTCCGTTGGGTCCTTGGAAATGTCAGTTGCTGATATTTATATCTGTCAACTCATCACCTTCCCCTAAGTAAGGGGATGAAGAAGCACTCAAGATACGGTCCCACGGCAATTGAACAACACATGTCCTTTTGTAGTCGCGACGTGTTCCGTCATGTCAAGAGAAAGTACACATCTTCTCATGCAGCACCCTCGCTGTCAGGTTTGCATGGGTCCTAATTAAGAGATCTTACTTGGTGACCTCTTGGAAGGTCCAGGATGAAGAATCCATGAAGTTCTCCACGTGTAAACTGAGCCTTTCACGTCCGAGGCTTTGAAGATCCTTCTTTCGCCAGAAGATCTGATCAGCAGTACGACCTCTCGAGCCTTTCTCGCCGTTCTGGGCGGAAGTTGGATGCTGTCCTGATACACCTCCAACTGCAGAAGCTGTATGGGGTGGGCTTAGAGGTTTGCTTGGAGGGGACCGAAACACAAGTCCCTCCAACAAACATGGGTCCGATGGTTTTGTTGGAAGTCCGTGTTTTCTCCGCCTAGTTTCCATGGTGCTTTTCCACTTCGGATTCTTTCCAGAAACACCTGGCCCTCCTTGGACTCCTCGCCTCACCTCGGCTCCTCTCTCGGCTCCTGCTCCTCTCTCGGTCACACGAACGGACGAAGGAAATGACGTCGTTGCCTTGGTCAACGTGCTTTGGAAGATGTCCGACTCCCTTGAGGACCGCGGTGACCGCACCGCACCGCACGCACCGCCGCCGTGGACCGGTCGAGGCGGTCGCCGTGCTTCACCGGTGGGTGGGAGCGAGGTGAAGTCCGGATTGGTGCGCCGTCTCGGTGTTTTGGGGCTTCTTGGGAGGACGGACTTTCAGTAAGAGAAGCGTCCCCAGGGGGGTTTTAGAGCTTTGGAGATATTTTGGACCATTGTGGGTGGTGCGCCGAAGGAAGTCTGAACTGCCTGGACTGCCTGGACTTCGATCACCTATAGATATTGGTCAGACCAACTACCAACTTCACATTCCTCGATCCTCAAGGGTTCTTGGACTCCCAGATCCGTGTCAGAGCCTCGTGTTCGGAGCCTCCTGTAGCTTTTTGCTTGCGTCGGGTTCTCCTCGGCCCGCGAGTGTCGCAGAAAAGCCAGGCAGCTTGGGAGTAGCACCCAATTGGGGGTTTCATGGATGAAAGCGCCTCTGGGCTGTAGGGCCTGGTAGGCTTCAGAAAGTGCATGCATTGGACTGATTTGGAACAGAGTCAAGAGTGAGACGACGTCAGAGTTGTCAACCCATGTCAACCCTGCTTGGGGAGTTGCTTAGTTGGCTTGGCCAACCACCTACTTCGCTGGTCCACCCCACCCCACCTCACCCACTGCCACTGCTTCAGTCCCCTCGCTCCACAACCGCCCAGTGAGCGTTTCGGGTGCTGGTCCCAAATCCGATCCCCAGAGACGCCTAAGAACATGCCAAACATGTCTGCCAACCAACTGGCTGCAGTATGTTTGATGTTGTTTGATGTTGTTTGGGATGTTTTGCAGTTGGAAGATCCAGCAGGTATGGTATGTGTGTTGTTCGTCTGCATTGTTCATAGGGAGCTCGTTCGACCCCGGAAGAATGGACACAGACCCAAAAACCCATTTGGCCAATTGGTTGGCGGAGGACGTCCGCTTGATGACTCGAGACTACTATGGGCAGCATCGGACTGTGCCACAAGACCGCCAGAGCGGCACAGGCGCGGCACTGGCGCTCCTTGAGCGGCTGGTGGGGGCTGCACGGAGAACAACCGTGGGCTGGTGTGATGTTGTGTGATGTTGCTGGGGCATGCTGGGGCTGGTTTAAACGGTTTGGAGTACTGAGCATGTTTGAGTACATCAGACTTCATCAGACAGAATCCGACGCACTTTCAACCCGCTCTCCTGAAGCCAACTCCGATGTCCCCCCGCTCGAAAAGACAGACCACTGCCGAGCCACGGAAGACTCCGTGGTGAAGCCGTCCGTAGGTGCGGCGGTGCCTCAGAGGATTGAGGGCGATAATCAACCGATGCCTTTGAGTGCCAGGCACGCTTCGTGTCGCGCGTAGACGCCCCGCTGTGCCATTGGTCGCGCGTAGACGTAGACCGTAGACTCGCGCGCGGAAAGAGCGTAGACTCGCTTACGCGACACGCGTGCGGCTGATGGGGCGCCGCGGTTCGTTGTTTGGGCGTGCGGTGGTTCCCTTCTGAATTTTTTGTGCTGTGTGTTTCTCACAATTGAGGCCATGTTCGATGTTGCTTTGATTTGACCCTTAGGCAAGTTCATCTTTGGGTTCTTTGCGAACTGCCGGTCATTTGGATCACCAGGGCCAAAGACACCAGCAACAGATGAGCATTTGCAGGACGTGTTGCAGAGCTAGATTGACATTACCTACAGCTCATGGACCCGAACCAACTGCTACATGTTGGTTCAGTCCATTTCACCCAGACCGCGAACGGGGGGAACGGGTCAACACCCGGACCGCCGGCTGGCTCAGCCTTTGGCATCGGTGCGACCATGCACTTGGATGCGTCTGAATCGACATGAGACGCTCAATGCTTGTCTAACACCTTTCAATTCGAGCTAACCTACGTGAGACTCCATGATATATTACATTATATTGCTATAGTACTATATGATGTAACTTTATGTAATAGATTGTAATAGTAGTACGTCGTGTCATAAATGTATATATAATGTAATTATTATGTAACCATTCCATAGGATGATTTGGGTTTTTCCTTTTGAGTGCTAACCTTCGCATACGGCGTAAGTGGCTTGTGATGCGCTTGTCTCATCGTTCCAACCCATCCCTTCCAGCGTTCCAAAACACCAGAGGAACAAGAACGCTACGTTCGGGGCTCCTGGCATCACTACTAGGAACAAGAGGACGCGAACCGAACGGAGCTGTCCTGTGAAGGCGAGAGCTTTTGGACTTGTCCTTTACGGCTGTTCGCCATAGTTCGAGCCACTCAACTGCACCGGGCACCGTTCAACCGAGAGAGGCCCGTTGAGCCTGGGTGACCGTCCCACCCAGGTGAGCGAGGAGAACAGACCGGGAGGACGGAAGAATTGCTTACATTGGGGTGATTGCCTACTTGTGTTAAGGGTTATTATAGATAAATAGTCCATATTCCTATAAGAACCCCTAGACGCTCCATGGCAGGGTTCGGACCCGAACCAAATCCTTTCTATTTGAGGGCTCGGATTCTGGGGGAGATGGGTCTTAGTATGAGAACCTACATGAAGCTACCAAGGACACCCCCCTACCAGTTCAGAAGCATTTGGCGAGTGAGTAACTTCACGGACGCCATGTGGACGCCCGCTCAAGTGCCAAGGAACTCGATGAGTGCAGGCCCTGATAGCAGGTTTTCATCCATGCATGTTCTTGTTTCCACTGTGGCTGGTCTAATTATCCCATACTATGTTGGACGCTTGCATGAGGAAGACATGTGTAGATAAAGAAACCCCAAACAGACACTCCGATTGACAACCATTATAAGTGGGAACTGGGCCCCTTGAGCAGGGGAGTCCAGCAAAGAAGAAACGACTGTTTCCAGACCATCCACGGGACTGGCATATGGACCATATCACCGGAGAGCGATGTTATGTCTTTAAGGGTCAATGATATTAGCCCATACACTATAGGTAAAAATCTCACACATGGAGTGTTTGGGTCGGTTTCCATCCATCTTCCAGTCCGATGGATAGAGAGTCGGTGTAGATGGATGGTCTGGCGGACTGGAGAGTCGGTAGCTGGGACCTTCTGCGTGAGAAGCTCTGACGAGCGACCGGGAGGGAGGATCCAGGGGAGGATCCAGGAACACATGACCTGGGTTTGCTGAAAGTGATATTGTTTAATGTGCGTTCCCTATAATGGTAAAACTCCTTCTAGAGTATATGTTGTCCAGGTTCCTTAAGCAATTCCATGATATTCCATGTCAAGGAACACATGAATGTCATGTGTGGCAGTTCGCAAGGCCTGCCGCAGTCAAAACATGAGGGCCATTCCCCCTGGACAGTTCACGGGTCGAAGGGGACGATCGACACAAAGCATCATAAACATGCATATACTATATACACTTATAAGCAGTATATGTCAGTATGTGCTGCAAGAAGTTTGTTGATGTATATTGGCATAAAAATCAGCGCCATGATGATGTGTCAGTCCATGTCTCCCTGTGCACATGCATGGGTTTCCAGTCGTGTCTCACCAAGGCAAAGGCCAGCTGCCCTCTGAGGCTGAGGACGACGCGAGCGGCTTCACGCTGCGGCCGGGGCGGCGACCGGGGGTGGAAGAATGGGAACGAACTCCATTGGGCCATCCAAGAAACTCCTTGGAGCCACCCCAAAGTCACTGGCTCACATCGGAACAATCCAGGGTCACAATCTGTTCAATCACTGGTTGTGTTGACTGAGTTCGGTGACCGAACTTGATAACGGTGTTCCGACCTTTTCTGACCAGGTCACTGTTCAGAACTGGGAACTTCAGAGTTTGCTCGTGAAGAGGATCATTTGCCGGAACAGTCGCCATTGGTGGGCATGGGTCAGACCACCGACTCTCGGTGGGACCTGCGCAGGCTTTGAGACATGCAGTGCGGGCTCCGGTGGGGTGTGGTGTGGGATCAGGTCGGTCTCACGACCGTTCGTAGCGACGGAGCTGAACAAAAAGGAGCCGAAGTCGGACAAGCAGGGAAAAACAAGATCAAACAAGGAAAAAGAAGCCAGAACAATGAATCAGCCAGGTTGCCAAACAGAAAGGGTGAGGGAGAAAAGCATGGTCAGGCAGAATGGTGACTGAGGGGCAATGCAAGGTTGTCGAACTAGGGGTTGTCAAGCAGAGAAGGGGGCTGATTGACCAAGATAATTTCTAAGCAAAACAGTAGTTCTCCCTCCCCCAGGTCCCGCCATACACAAGCTTCCGGTTTTGGTCCGACATGGTGTTTTTTCTTCTTAAAACCAGGTCGGCCGGAGTTTGGGGCCAGTGGAGCGTGTTTCCGAACCATCCGGCTCTTTGGACAATTCATGGGACACATGACACATGGGACTGCCAGTCCGGACTGCCGATCAATTGACCCCCCTGGCACCACCTCAATGTAAGCACAAATGGCATACATGGAGTGTTTGGGTACCCAACGAATCCGTACTGGAACCGACTTGCTCTCGAGCAAGTCCAGGCGGACCGCAGGGGGAACTGGGGACCCCCAACAACAGACGCTATGTGTTTGAGGGCCCTGGATTCTCCAAGGCATCTTAGGGTAATAAGTACGCCGGATCAACACCCTGGTTCCACCATGCTTCCAGTGATGATTCGAATAATATCGAATAATGGTTCAAGAGGCTGGAGGTGTGTTTTCCAGGTGCTGGGGTGCAAATTCCGGAGTGGCCCATGTGACGGTCCATACCGCCCGTCCGATGGCGGGCACTGAGAGGGGTTCCTTTCCGCAGGAGAAGTTGCTCCGCTTTTTGGTCTCCGGCGCCAATGAGGCCGTTCCCGCAATAACAGCGTGGCCGTCCGTTCCCATCCACGGCTGCGTGAATGACTCCGCAGTCTGAGAGTCCGAGATCCTTTGATTGTGAGGTCCGTGTTTCTTTCACAGCTGAATAAAGAGTTAGAATTTCATATATCCCTAGACTTCCAAGACCATCAAAAAAATGGTTGACCTGGTGTTGTAGTGTAAAATCCTTAGTTGATTCGGTAAAGCCTATTAAATTACTGGTGGTTGGAAGCCTAGGGATATAGTATACTTATTATCCCGGCAAGAGACCCAAACAGTGTGTGTGAGGTCTGTAAGCAGAAAGTCTAGAGATCTAGACGCATTGGGGTCCAGAGAGGTGATGGCGGTGATGAAGTGAAGGTGGGTGTGAGTGAGTGTGGATGAGAGGGAGTGTGAGTGTGGATGAGAGGGAGTGTGAGTGTGAGTGAGTGTGAGTGCGAGTGTGAGTGAGAGTGAGTGTGAGTGTGAGTGAGAGTGTGTGTGAGTGAGAGTGAAGGTGGGTTTTAGTGAGTGAGAGTGAGTGTGAGTGAGAGTGAGAGTGGGAGAGTGAGTGAGAGTGAGAGTGGGAGAGTGAGTGTGAGTAAGTGCGAGTGTGAGTGAGAGTGAGTGTGGGTGAGTGTAAATGGCCCGTTGGTGTTCCACTTCTGTGATGACTCCAGGGAGTGTAACAGTCGGTCAATGATACAAAAGATCATCATGACTTAGATGCCGGCCTGCGACCCAACCGTCATCATCCACTGGGCCCTGCAATGCGATAACTCCACAAACAGCTTGATATGGAGATCTTCAGGGTGGCCCGTGCGGCCAAATGCCGTCGATGTTTGAAAGCTGATCTCTGCCAGGAAGTATTGCTACTGGCAAGGCACTATGCCTTGGAGCGCCCAGAGATCTTCTGCAGGCCGAAAAAGCCTTGGCCAAGGGCGACAACACATGAAAAGGTCCCTGATCAGGTTTCGGGTTTGCAGGCAGTCATGGTGACATCATCTTTCGTGTGAAGATAGAGCTGCACATGGAACATGTGTTTCCTGTTTCCACTATATGATATGTTTTAAACATTGTTTGGAATCACTCTGGCAATCGCATTGGTCGGATTGATTCCGTCGTGTTGTCAGGGTCCAGATGCACGTCGTGTTGTTCCTTTGTGATGGCCGCTCGTGCGAGCTTGAGGGAGCAGGATCCATCCCCACGAGCCAGAGGGAGGAACTCAGAGCGACCACGGGAGCTCCGGTCCCAGAATGAGCAGTGGATGTATGCGGTGGTCAGGTCATCTTGGTGATTTTCCCGGTTCCGAAGGGTAGATTCCCAATTCTTGGGCGAAGCCTGATGAGTTCCTTTTTCGGTTTGGAACCAGCAGATCTAAGCGATGGCATTGATGTCTCCAGGATGGCACTCTTTAGCTCCGAGCATCTGCAACTGGTCACAGCGCCGAATGCAGCGCCGGTCGAGGTGCCGCGATTGCGGTGATTGGTTCGTGGCAGGCAGACATCACCAGACCAGGGGTTTGTTGAAGGGGGGTCACGGAAAGCACCAGAGAGGCCCATGATTACCAGTCTCCTACCTGGTTCTACCTTGGACAGACCCCTTGGGCATTCCCCCCACAGAAAAAGAAAGCAAGTTGCTGTCCGTTGGAGACCGTGAAAGGACCGAACAGATGCACGAACATGACCCTTCAAAGGTACGCAGCTTTAATATGATTTAATTACATTTAATTGCTTGGTTTTTGTTCATCATCCATGTTCCCAGGTACGAACAAGTCAAAGACTCCGCAGAATACAGTGAAGCATATTATATAGATATATACCTTGGGGCTGTCCGATTACATGTAACCGTCGGTTTGTCCAATGATCCCTAGTTTTTTTCTGTTCGGCCACCAAGCGGAAACACCTCCACCGGTTTGACTGGTGGGATAGACCATGACCGATCCAACAAACAGTCGTGTGTATCTAGCGCGGTTTGTTTTCAGTTCCGAGTCAGGGTGGTGAAACAGCCTGGCAATCGAGGTGCAGTCCGGTTCTGTTGAAACAGGGAGACTGGTCTCCCTGGGTCTCCAGTCTAACCTCCCAGGTCATCGTGTTTTCGATTGACCAACTCCAGTCAAAATGAGGAGAATGAGGTCGTTGGACCCGTTTGGACCTGGTTTTCAGGTGTCTTGCTCCGGACCGCAGTCGGACCTTGCACAAGCACAAGTAGGTCTTGGAACCTGGACCGTCGAGCGGGTGACAGTGATCACAAAACAAGGTCCTTAAGAAAAAGGATTTCAGGATAACCTCAACACAGGAAAAAAAAGAATATTTACAAGCAAATACAGGATTCCGCAACAAAACACAGGTTTTATAAGACCACAATTTGATGATTCTCCTAAAATACCTCCAATTTACCGAACAATGTAGGCAAAGGTGGACATAGGAAAAGATAATGTCACACAAGTCATCAGGAACATATACTTGCACCAGCAAGGGAAATGGGCGGGGCGGGATTTTATAAACCTGAGCCTGAGACTTCTTGAAGGACTGGGACGGCTCGATTTTGAGAGCGACCTGCAAAAACAATGATCAACGCCAAGCATTCAACCGCAATGGGCCAAAAGAACCGAACAGCCGCGAAAACAATTGAAATTCCAGCTGCAGCATCACGAGAGTCCCTGTAACAACTCTCCATGCCGTACTTTCCTAAAGATGTGCAGCAAGGACAGGGAGCAAAACTAGATAAGGTCAGCAAGGAAACCAGTTTTAAGTGCATACGAATCTGAGAAATGTTCAATCGTTCAATCCATTAAATTGAAATGGTAGCATGACTGCTGGCCAACCGTGCATCCAAAAATCCGAATAGCTTGGGGTGTTCAGCAACTGTGGGATGGTGCACTGCCAAAGCCAAGATGATCAACACGCATGTTTGCATTCAGGGCAGATATAAACACAGTTGCAACTCATGAAATTCTCAGTGCACCAGAGGCAGCTGGCCTAGCTTTCAGTCTGGCCAGCATCCTGCAAACAAACATGGGAAGCAACGTCTGAAAGCATGAAACTTAGGCAGGAAAATGTCAAATGTCTGAACTTATGTAACGTAAAAACATATGGTATAGATGATGAAAAAGACACCTGCACTTATGTTGACACGACTTTGAGAATGATAGTGAACATATAGAATACCACATGTCTTTTACTATGATTCCCATGCTCTGAGCAAGACAAAAATGAAACGGTAAAATATAAAACACTAGAACTTCCACTGACACAACTCTTTGCACCCAAGTCAGCCCAGCTGAAGCGCCTGGTCGCAGGAAGGAGATTCAGGCTTACACCAGCAATAGCTGGGTAGAATCGTCACTCAAACACCTGTCATCTACACGCTAGTCAATTTATGGCTTGTAATCCATATTGCCTTATATGTGAGAACAGAAAATTATAATAGGGAGGAACTTCCCCGGGAAATGAGCTCAGAGACTGTTCTTTTCCAAGGATATCCATAGAACCTCAGCACAGGATTCCATAATATGTTTGCACCTTGAAATTGCAATTCTTCGTTTAGGATTTCATAAAACTGAGACCGGTCTGTTCGTGATGTTCATATTATAGTGTTCCTGCCTGACCTGCAGAAGGATAGGATCTTTCGCTCCGTACAGAGGAGCAATCGATCTTCACTTGGCGCCTTTCGACGCCTCGATCGATCCGAACTGAAGAGGGTGAAACCGCTGAGACGAAGCTCAGCATGTGACGGACAAAGCCATATATGCATGCATATTATATATTTTGGTTGGAGTCAACTTGAGTCAACTCCTCGAATTCCAGGTTTACTCTTTGGGGAAATCAATGTGATACATTTCGCTGCCCCCCCCAGGCCTACGGCACGCTGACGCGGCCGGCGGATGCGATCATCCTCGGGGGCGGATTGGCTGGAATGAGTGCGGCGATGGCCTTGCTGGACCGCAGAGGTGCTGTGGTCATGGTGGAGAAGTGCGACGCTCAGAGAGGACGAAGCGTCGCGACGCCGCGTCGCGCGATCCGCGTCGGTGTCGCATGGCGGCGTGTTCCGGCGGCATCGGTGTTCCGGCGGCAGTGTTCCGGCAGACTTCGGAGTGGTGCAGCGGTTCGGTGGAGATTTGCTTGTGTTCCGGTGTTCCAGTCTTTTGTCATTAAAAGTGGTTCAGGGCCATTGAGGACTTCCATGGCAAAAACCATCCAGGGCCACTCCAGGGCACTTCATACGTTCCCGCAGCCCGGAGCCCGGTTCATCTTTAGGGACGTGCGACGCCGCGCTGGTGGACCGTTTTCCTCACCAGCCGGGGCTGTTCGGTGCGCGCAACCTCGTGGAGTCTTCTTCCTTGGACGGAAAGGCGGAAAAAGAGCCCATGGTTTGCTCCCGGAAATCGATGGCCTGACCTACGGCCAAGTGGGTTCACAGTTGTTTGGCATATGATATTGGCGTATTGTGCGTGGCATCGACCCCTGTATTCTTCTTAAGGTCTGACTGGACATCATTTGGTTTAATATGTTACTAGTCTAGGGTCCTTGCTACGTTCGTAGCGATGCACCTTGTTACTGTAGCTTCTTGCTACGTTCGTGGCGATGCACCTGTTCCTCATATGTCCTAATAGCCATGCACTTGTCAATTTCCCCTCCCCTTTTCGAAGGCCGTCACCCCACAGATGCACTGAGGCAACCTTACCTTGGCGGAAACTCCGGGAAGGCCTCGTCAGGCGATGACCGGCGATGAAACGCGAAGCCGAAAAAGCGGGTTACTCTGAGTGACTCAGACGGATGTGTTTCACCAATTGGTCGATTACTTGGAATTCTGGCGAAGCTGGGGTGGGGTCTATGCTGGTCTACGAAGTAAGCTTTGAAAAGGGCCGATACTTGGGCATGGCTTCAGTCCACGGGACCTTCGACAAAGCAGAGTTAGGTTCTCCCTCTCCGACGTCTCTTCTTTCTTTTGTGGATCATGACGAAAACCAACGCCCAATCCAAGCCGTAGCTGCTAACCATGCCCCATTCAAAGAATCGTTGTCAGAAAACAGAAAGCCAATGAGCAGGGCCCAACAAGGTCGCGAGGCCCATCAAACTGCCTAACAACTGGGGCTTAGGCTCATACCTTTTCTCATCTCCCTTACCTCATCCTGATCCGCCACCAGCTCCAACCACCAGACCCCACGCAGGCTGCCGTCTCACCGCACTGGGCTTTCTCAACACCTGGGGACCTGCACCGCGAACCCCGAACCCCGCGTCGTGCCCCGACCTGCACCGCGACGCCGGACACTAGGCATCAACGCCGCCCTCGAAACCTCCGTGGAGTCGTTGGTGGCGGACACCACCAAGAGCGCGGGCACGTGACCTGGGTGCCAAATTGCGGAGGGGAGGTCGGTTCTGCCCAAAACGGAAGGTGAGTCAAGCCGCGCCCGCCTTCCGACCAAAAAGGGTGTTGATCGTGTTTAAAGAGTGTTGACCTGGTTTAAAGGGTGTTTACCTGGTTTTGTAGTGTCAAATGCTCAATCAAACACACAAAATCAAGGTTGTTGGAATCATACTAGTAGGGTGAATGCACCCAAACTGGACGGTCAAGAAGTATATTTTGTAAATTTGGTCATATAGACTAGATTCGCACCCGAAGGTTCAATCTTAATTTGGAAGATGAACAGAATGACGCTACTTGTAAGGCTCATGACCTATTGGGGAAGCCCACAAAGTAGCGTTTTTCAAGAGAAGAACACGGATCGATTGCCCCAAATGAGGGTCGCACAACGTTGCAGCCAGAGTACTATCGAAGCAGAGTACTACGCTATCGAATTCAGAACAATGGTACCACCCCAAGAATCCTTGGGCCCTCCATGGCAGGGGTCAGACCCTCCATAGCAGGGGTCCGGACCCTCAAAACCTATGTGTATTTTAGTGCCGGGGTTCTTAGGGCAGTTCAATACCAGTGCAAATGCCCCAATCGAAAACCACTACACAAACGACCCCACTAGATGCATTCTCACACACGCGGTGGTTGTTTTGCACCGCGGAAGCTTCGGCCTAGGTTGGCACGGCCTGAACTCATCAAGCGCTTGGCCGAAGATTCGGCTGAGGCAGTGGCCTGGCTGAGGCGCGGATAGACTCAAGCCATGGTCTGGGGTGAGGTTTCAAACGCAGACAGAGGACCACTGATAGACACATGCTATTTTGTTTTTGGTGGGGCGGGGCGCATAACAGACAGTGGTTTTAGGAACGCAGTGGAATGTTCATTGGAGAGGTGTGCACATTCTTGAGTCTCAAACCCACGGACACCCACCACATGGTAACATGTGGTAGGGGTTGTTGCTCGTGGTTGCTCCTCATCAGGGTAGTATACTATTGCGGTTTCCACGTGAGCATAAAACAAACATGTGTTTTCTTGAAACATTACATAAAAGATGCGCCAAGTCGTCTACTAGTCAGTCTAGTCTTCTGCAGAGTCGTAGTCGTAGACTTCTTGCTGCGTTTCCATGTGGGTTAGTTGCAAACTTGCAACAAGAACTTTGCATAAACACATTATGCTTTGGAGTATCAGTTCAACATCAACATGAAACATAGATCGATAAGATACTTTCAGATACTGTTTGCTGGCTTGCATCAAGAACTATTGCCGCAACCAGAATATGCTGAGACGATGGTTCCCCTAAAGAACTTACATGGCTCCTCCCACACCTTGTATGGCGAGATCAAAGAGAAAACACCCAGCCAGTCTAAAATAACCTTGATGTACAACAGTTTTCGATTGCATACTTCCTTTCCATGGCGTTGAAACATAAAACGTACTTTTCGCAAGCGGGTGACTTGATGTCAGCCCAGGTGACTTAATCCCAGAACTTATACGTACTCAAGCGCTGAAGGGCCAATGTTCCAGTGGCATACCGGCTAACGAAACAGGGTTGTGTTCTACCGCCAGGTTATTCACCACGACGTATCAACTAGGTTTTTGCTAACTCTTGTACTACTTCTTGTTAGAGGTTGCTCACAGCTGGGTAGGGTTTTCTTGGCTGTTCATCCTCACATACCACTCGAAGTAAGGAAGAAGAAGCTGACTTGGACTCAATATGGAAACCCGCTTGCCACTTGCTATACCTTCGGATTCCATTGGCCCAGTCACACTCTCTCACAGAGACTTGCTATACCTGCGGCATCTCACGAGATCGCGTCTCTCGCCCAGAAAATCTCTCTCGCTAGGGACCGGACCAGTGTGGATCTCTCCTTGCGATCTCAGCTGGGTGGTCATTCAGTGAAGCGCACCTTGAGGCACCACCCGCCGATACGCTGACGACGCGACGCGACGACGGGTCGACCACCGGGATGGAGGTCGCGATGGTATAGCGCCGCTACCGCACCGGGTTGTGACAGCACCGGGTTGGAGGTGTTTGGAATGCCCTTTGCTTGGTTCGTAGCTTCTTGTTACTAGTACTCGTAGTAAGGCCAGGAGCCCCGTTCGTAGCATCCTCCTGGTAGCGATGCCAGGAGCCCTAGTAGCACCCCTTGAGGTTCTTTTTGGAATGGTGTGGGTGTGCAGCATTGGATCTCTAGTCGGAGCCTGGCACTCTTGACATCTATATATACGTTTAACTCAAATGCCATTCAGGCACTGTGGATGTTTGGATGTGTATGGCCATGAGCGAAAAAGGAACAAAAAACATGGCCTGATTCCGGATCACCCAACCAGAGAGGGTTGGACTGCACTAGCCCCAAAAGCGAGTGAAGTCCAAAACAGGATGTGGGTAGACTGCATGGATCTCTATAGAATGGGCACCCTTGACATCTACCAAATGCCATTCAGGCACCCATTCTAAGAATCAGAGGTTGCTTCTATAGAATGTGAACGTTTCGTAAACCCTCCAACACTCACCGGGTCTATTTCGTTGAAACCGCGGCTGGGGGGAACCCAACTGAGGGCGTTTGGGATTCGGACGACGAACCCGAAAACCACTGGGTTGGTATTCGGAAAATGGTCCAAATCATGGCTCAAGTCTCGGGTACTTTGCGCCAGGTTCCAAATCGGGAGACCGAAGATGGGCGTGGCAACGACCGGATTTGGTTCGGGAAAGACGTACTCTACTCAGCCAGGACTGGATTTTAAACTGCACATCCATGTCTTTGCGGTATGGGGAGTGGCTATCGACAGATGTCGTGAAATCCTACCCATCCTCGAAATCCTTCAAAAATGACTACTCGCGATCGGAGTGTCAAGGAGGGGGGTTCTCCGCGTACTCAGTGCTATCCCCATGCATCCACATACCTTCTGAGAAGGTGAGCGCCAGGAGGGAAGGTATGCAATCCAATTGGATCCAATTCAGGATCCAATCACAATCCACGTTCTATGTTGTTCCAATCTGGTCTACCTTTTGTTGTACCTGTCAGGCCATCCAATGCCTTCGTGGGGGCTGAGATCACCTTTGCTGCTGGCCAGGCGTGGCGCTGGTGTGTGTTGCGCTGCGGATAGGGGGATTAACACGGGTGTGATTTCTCCCTTGTAGTGGCCGAAGTCTGTAGACTGAGTTCAGTTATGTCAGTTAAGTCCAAATGACTCTCAAATGTGACGTGTGCGTTTCACATGGCAAACTCATGGCCCCAGATGCCTCCTCCATCACCGCTCGCTCCTCGATCAGCCAATCCACCATCCATGATCCACCTTCGGAGTTCCAAAGTAGCCAATTAGAACCATCTAAAACCACCTCTCCCTAGTGATCCAGTTGTACCTTCTCAGATTCGGTACGACTGGACACTCCTGGCAGCTACAGTCTCCAGTGTCGAACTCATCACCGTACCTGAAAAGGTACGAAAACGGATCCCTAGGGTCTTAAGGGTTTTTGGTAAATGAGTCAATTTTTGAGCTCAGATTCAGTTCGGACCTTGGAGGTGCACATTTGATAACACATTTGCCTCAAACAGCAAAATTCACCTGTCAAGATGCACGGTCATTGAGACAAATCGAGTTCCATCAAGGGGACCGTTCAAACGTCTCCCCAAGCTCCCCCCCAAAAGAAATCATGGCAAGACTTGTTATTTGTTCATAGGAGCTGTCCCAGTAGCTATCCTCACCCTACCCAGTCAGTGGATGTCAGTGGATAACCTTCAACCTTTTTGGGGATTGGTTTACCCACCAAGTATGAACTGATGGAGAAAGGTTAACCGGTTTTTTTCCCAGAAACACTGAGGGAATCAGCTACCATGTGGCACCAACCCCCCCAAAACTCAACAACATACCGTACCCGAGGGCTCCAAGTACCTTCTGAGAGGGTGTTTGGGGTGGGTGCCAGGAGGGTCCAGATACCTTCTGAGGAGGTGCTTGGAGCCCTAGGGGTATTGACAGCCGGTCCATCTGGGACAGGTCCTCACCAAGATTGCTGAGCAGAGCGATCGCTTCCGCTTGCTGCTGAAGTCCAAGTGGACCGGCCTCACCAGGTGTGAAAGCAGTGCCGAAATGGGCGGTGGAAACGGTGGGTTCACCGACCAGCGAACGCGCGACAGGGTTTGTTTGCAGGTGCGATGTTTGTTGAGCCCAGCCTGTGTTCAGTGCCTTTTGCGGGAAAAAAGACCAGACCCCTGGCCCCACATAATCCGCAGATCTGCTATGGGAGGTCCATGCAGTCCTCCCTGCGGCATCTTGCTGGTCCACTCATGAGACTTGCGCAATCGTGGTGAGGTAGAAGATAAGCAGGTAGAAGATCCCTCTCCACTTCACCTATCGGGGCCAAGTCGATCGATTCGGTAGGGGCTTTGTCTTTGCCAAATTTTCATCGCTATGGACAAATCAACCTTGGTATGCGGGGGTCAGTACCAAATACCAAGTCCGTCTCGTGAAATCACTGGCCCATTTGCCATCCGCCTGCGACCCAGACACAAATCGACCAGACACGACCTGGGACTGGTTTGTTTTGACCCGACCCCCAAAGCCAACCACCCCAATGTATATGGTATTTTATTCATAATATGCCAGTCCCACGGAGTGTTTGAGAGATGAGAATAGCATTGCCAACTGTGGAAACAGCCTCTTCGACCTGGCGTAGGCCGAAGGACCTTTGGCAAGTGGAAATCGAGGTCAACGGCTCGAGCAAGGCGCCGTTCGGCGGATTTTGTGCAGTTTAGGGCGGTCAGAGCAGCGGTTGTGGTGATTGACCTGGATCTTCCCGTTTGCCTTCTGGCTTTGTTTTTCCAATGAACAAGGCAGACTCGTGGCTTAATTAGTTGGAAGATCCAGGTATGAGCGACACAAGACCTCAAATGGATGGTGACCAGTGTGCAACTTCACCCCAGTATGAATCATGGGAGGTTCTATCCAGGTGAATCGGAAAAAGCATCCCTCTGTGAGACACTCTGCCGGTCCACCAGTCGGTCTCCCGTGGGCTCACTGTGATGAGTGTGGCATGCGTCGCATGCGGTGAGCTGTGGCACTGTGGCACCACTGCATAAGGTTGTATGATGCGTGATTTTAAGGCACCAAAGAAATCTCGATCAATAACAACAAGAACAATTATCACTTCTCCTGTGTGTCCCATAGATGGGTAAAGCTACCAACATTGGCTGAAGACTTTGAGACTTTGATGTTCAAGGTTTGTTTTGCACATGCTTCCACAATCTTATGTAGTGCCTCCCCATACAGACCAACATGTGTCGACTTCCTTTGCAATCATGAAGATTGACGGCTCTATTTGGACACTTACGAATCTGAGCGCATACTTCAAAGGCTTGATTAATGGATTTGAGCCAAGAGCTTTGCAGTGAGAAGTGTATCACGATACCCCAGGCCTCCAGTCGTACCTTCTGAGAAGGTGGGACTGGGGTGGGTGCCAGGAGGGTCCAAATACCTTCTGAGCAGGTACGACTGGAGGTGTAGGGATATAATGATAGGTGAGAAGTATATCACTATATATATATATATACCAGTATCACTCACTCTTTTGTCAGACCATTTCATGCAAACATTGGAACGAACTGATGTGGAGCCCTCCAGTCACACTATGTTATGTTGGGAGCCAGAGTTTCGGAACGCACACCAATTCCCCACACCAGAGATTACAGCTCCAACAACACATCATGAAACTAAACAAAAACATGTACAATCAGGTGATTTTGGGGGGTTCAAGGTGCTGATGTTTCCAAACCACTGCTCATTGGTCGCCCGCAACTCACTCCGCCTATTCAGACGCTCTATGGGCATCATGTGGTCATTGCCACTGGCGGCTTTGGACACGACATCAAGGCATGGGACGACCTACGACCGATCGACCTCGTTTGACCGGGGTGAGGGTCGACCGGTCGAGGTCGGGAGGAAGACACCTCAGCCAAGCACGAAAGTGCAGAGTTTGGTCGAAAGAGTGACGTACTATGTCACTATGTCTTAGTCTATGTCTTTTGTTCTTAGTTTTCCGCATTTTTCTGGAGGCAATCATGTCATTTGTGTGTGTTCGGTTCTTTGGAGGTTTTCGGGGCGTCTCCTCATGCACCCAAACCAAGCGAGAGCTCTGAAACATTTGGCCAGGAGATGGAAAGCCTGCTGCTCAAATATCGCCGCTTGGGCCAGAAATCACTGAACTGCCTCAAAAACACAGAAAGAAGTGACACACCAATCAGGTAGGGGCACCATGGTGAGATAGACCAGTTCTTTGATGTCGAAGAAGAAGGATCTCAGCATGCGCAAAAGAAACCGGATTATACTGCCCAGCTGTGAGAAGTGATTGCCGTTGTTGCCTTGGCCCTTGGTCGCAAACAAACAAGCATCAAGAAGTCTGTTGACCTCAAAAAGGCGCATCCACCAACACCACCCATCAGACTATCACCGGGACATCAATGTTACCTTCCAAAAACCAACGGCTGACTAAGGGAATCCAAAATTCCCAAAATATGCCAAAATCATCTATCAAATGCAACACCTATACCTGGAGTCTCGAAGTACCTCAGAAAATGGGTGCAAGCACCTGCTTTTCTGACGTCATGTCCCATTTTCAGGTGCAAACTGGAGGATCTAGGTATAATATGGTGTAATCATTGTGGATCACCGTCCCCGAACCCCCACAAAGAAAATCACCACCACCGCCCACTCACTGACTTCAAGCTTTCTTCTCTCGCCGACGCGGCACCAGGTTCACACCTCTCCCCCCAGACCGCCACGCTGGCGCCAAACCACCGCCTTTCGCCACCAAAACCGCCCCACTCCCCTCGCCCCTCGCAAAACTGGCCTTGGGAGCAGTGCGCGAAGACGTGTTTGGGAGCAGAACTTCGGAGCACGAAGACGTTTTCCAGGTCCCGACTTGGCGGACTTTCCCACGACCTTGGGCTCGCAGACCACGGGAGATGGCGTGAAGCTGGCGCGCGACCTGGGCGCGCGCCTCGTGGCCGCTCGCATCGAGGAAGGCGAAGGAAGAGTGGGTGAAGGATTCCGGGTGGAAGAGTGGGTGGAACTGCCAGGGAAAACCAGCAAAGACCTGGTGTTCCCTTAAAAAAATGTTTTTTCATGTTTTTTCGTTCTGTGAAAACCTGAGGGCCACTGGTGGGGGAGGGTTCTGGTTGAAAAGAAAGCCTGGTCTCCTTCTTTGGGGCCTCACTGAGTCTAAAAAGAAGCTGAGTTTGCTTCGCGGGCTTGCGGGGAAAGGTGATCAACCTGCTGCAGGAGCACAAGAGAGAAATTCAGAAGTGAGTAGAATGGACGCCAACAAGTGATGTTAGAATCTGTAAGGGGCTTAGTTGATCTGGATGATGAAGAGGAGAACAAGCATCATAAAGGCATCCATGAGCATGGGCCAACACTCATGGCACCATTGAGATGCACTTGGATGATCTTGGATGTATTTGGTGTTTCTTGGTCAGTTTGCGCTTGTCTGGAGAAAGGATGCTTACCATTATTGAAAGCTTGGATCCTTGCCATGTGTTCCCGGAGCTTCAGAAGCCAATTCCCACTTCAGCGAAAGTGTTGACTCCCTCACAGCATCAACTACCTTTAGCTGGGATGTAGTTGCTTGTCAACAAAAGAAAACAAAACTCAACAGGCCAATGGCGGCCAATGGTTGGTCGTTCATGCCGTTCATTCGCCCATGTCCCATGCCTGACACAGACGTGCCTGTGGGGATGTTGGCTTCTGTGGGCCGGTGTTTTTTTCACCGCAGCGGCCGAAACCTCCCAAGTAACAAACAGAAAGAGGTCAACAAGGTCAACAAAGGTGGAACAAGAAGCTACAAAGACCAAGCCCTAGGGATCCAAGTACCTTGTGAGAAGGTGTTTGGGGTGGGTGCCAGGAGGGTCCAGGTGCCTTCTGAGAAGGTACGACTGGATCCCTAGGGTAAGATTAATATAAGATGCCTTTGCGAAAGGAAAACAGATTCGGTTTTCCAAACATGCCAGACATTTGACACGCTCAATCTTCGAGCATCTCCATGGCCACTCATCTGCAAATCTCACTTGTCCTATACCAGGACCCTCCTGTTTGGGTGGTGATATCTAAATAGCCTCTTTCGAGACTTAGAGGTTAAGTTGTTGTTCTTTTCTATCCACCTGTGAAGCCAGGTCCTGGTAGGATGTCTTCTTTTCGGCGCCGGGACCCTTTTAAGGTGTCGTTTGTTCTCATGCGTGGCCGTTCCGAGGACATGGATCGTGTCCAGCTACATCCCACCGGCATCTTGACCACTTGTCCTGATGTTTCTGAAAACGGAAACCAAGATATGCCTGTGTAGCTCAAACAGGGAGACTTCCCAAATAACCCCCTCAAGAAGAGGGAAAATAGACCCAAACCTTCCAAAACCCACCACACCATTAGGGTTCAGTATGTTCACACATTCAAAGAGGCTTCAGTATGGTTCACCTGTTGAGCCACGTTGTGCTGTCTGGGTTGTTGAGAATCCTCCAGTACAGCACCTTGTTGCACCCGTGCTGTCTGGGGCTCTCACATTGACGGATGGTTTTCGGAGACCGTGATTGCCAACCCCCAAAGATCAATGCAGAAATATTCACATGTGCTTGGTGGTGCAGAATACAGAAATATATATGCATATTAAACATCCATGCTTTCATGCTGAAATGCCACATCAGGGCAATAGTTGGGAGCATCCACTGGCAAGCTGGCGGGGCTTCCAACATCTGGGGTCCCCGCATGGACCTTGGATCTTGCCCTCACGACGACCCGTCTGTGTGGGACGCCAAGGCTTCGTGGACATGAAGAAGCCAACAGAGTGGCTTGGCTGCATGAACCTTTGGAGCCGCTGCGGGCTGGGGGTTCCTCATCCCATGTGGCTTTTCCCTCACATCTCGCAGGGCGCTCCCTGGCGGATCGTGGTCGGGAACACGGTCATGGAGATGGGTTGGAGGCAGGATGCAAACCTCAGACATGGTCTACCAGGTTTTTTGGGGCTCTTGGGTTTTGCTTCACCCCCCGAGCTTGTTTTGCTGACGCGGGAGCCGGCGTTCGAACGGCCTCAGGAACACCAAGACGCTTTGTGCGGAGCTTCTGCGGGGCGTGGGTGGCCTTCTGCTGGACAGGCAGGGAGTGAAGTGCTATACAAGGCAAGCGCAGCGTCGGTGGCCATAGAGGCCAACATTGGAGCCCAACATACTCGCCTCATGCCTCGCTACCGAAGTGGCTCACTACCTGAGCGGCTCGCTACTTGTTGCTTTTATCTGCTTTTTTTACTTGCAGTGGCAACATCGTTGCCAGGATGTGTGGCTGTCTTGCAGCCCGGACCCGAAGAGACTATAGCCACATGACTTGTCATATGAATTGACCCAAAAACACCATGGCAAAGCACGTTTCCACTGCTGGTCACGCTCGACCGCCGCAGAGCTCGACCGCGGAGCGGCCTCGCGGAGCGGCGCGAGGCATGGGAATCGCTTTACCAACGAGCTGGGCACACGGCAGGCCTCCAACGTCCAAAGGGCGGACTCATGGACCGGGGGCGTGGAACCGTGTGACAAACCTCCGGTTACTCATTTTCACTCAGGCTGTATGTCTTGGAAGTTCCGTATTCGGAATTGTTAGAAGTATACATGTAGTATACGCTCCCACTAGCATGGTCACGAAGTGGGAGATGCTTCCAGGAATTGTTTCAGGAATAGTATATGCAGTATACATACACCAACACCGACACCATCACGAGCCCATTCACTTTCATGGTGATCAGTTAGTGACTGGTCAGATGGGTCACCTTGTCCCATCAGTCCCCCACCTCCTGGTCCATGGCCTGAGTCACAGGCCGTGGTGAATGCTGAGCTCAAGGCCGATGAGGTTGGAAAATGAAGACAAGACAACTGCTTCGTTACCTGATAGTAGAGCTGGGCTGATTTACTAACATACTTTGTCAGATACGCGGTAGAAAAATGATGAAAGAAGATGAAAGGAGCGTAAACATTGCCAGTTGCTCTATATAGAGATAGTCGATAGTTTTATTTTCTTACGAACACCAGAGGCATGAATGTGGTGATTTCAGTTGTGAGGATCGCGGAACCGCAGTGGATCAACAAGCAAGAAGGAACCCGTGCCTAGCACCTTTTTGGTCCTCCCAGTTGACTTGACTTAAAACCTACTCCCAACCAGCCAAGTCTATCACCATCATCCCAGCCAACCAGCCAAGTCTATCGCGCTGGCAGGCGGGCTTGTCCTTACCAGCTCCTTCACCACATCGGGTTGGAGAGCACAGCGGGCACTGGGAGTCGTGGACCAGAACTGGTTGAAACTCATGTGACAAACATATGACACGAAGAGACATGTATGTAAGAATGTTTGGTAACCCACCAACAATATCAAAAGGACCCTGCAAATGCAAACAAAACAAAGAGTTAGAGAGGCTTCTGCAAAAAAGTCCATCTAATCCTTTGGCCAAGGAACAAAAAACTGTCCAAAGCACCACGACCTTTTAGAACGACTTTTGAAAAACACCCAGTCCGAAGTCCAGTCACTGTTCTTGTACGGCCGATGACGTTGAATCAGAAGATTCTTTGGGGGACGCCTTTGAGGCCTTTGCTTTGGTACTGTCCGGGGACCCAGTGACGGTCAGAACAGTCCATGCTATCAATTGGAACCTGGAACGTGCCTGTCTCATGTGACTTCCTGCGTGGATCTATGGATGGTCCTCCAATTTTTGTTTGATTGGCTTGTGCATGCTTATGCTATCATGTGCTATCTACTTTACAGTAATTTGACCGTGCTGCAATGCAATGAACGAACGATTTTTCAATTGACAGACCCAATGGTGGACACATTTGCCCGTCATTTGCCCGCCAAGCATCTCTGGGCTAGAAGTTTGACCAATGGCCAATGGCTGATGCTGAGGAACAGCAAGGCTGCCAAGGTTGCAGACCGACATGTGACCCTCTACAGCAAGAAAGGGCCACTCGGATGCCCGCTGGAAGCTAGCTGACTCGCAAAAAAGACACCCTTCACATGTCGGGACAATGCGGGACTGGGATAGCTTTGACATGCTTTGACTATAACTGTACTGTAGTATACATACTCCTAGTGTTGCGTATAGCTTGAGTTTGCTTGAGTTGTTTTCTTTCCCAAGCTGGGTGAATCCCAAAGCTGGGGGCATACTGTATGTATCTCCGCTCCCGGAGTCGCACTCCTCCAGGTTGCTCCTCTGTGTTGAAACAGATCTTGTTGACTTATTTCGAGGCAAGAGAGTCGAGCGACTGGAGATGGTTGGGTCACTGAAGGACCAGAACTCGTCCCGTGCCAAGCTCGAAGCAGCCCAGATGGAAGAGATGTGAATGTATCCGGGAATTTCCTGGACAGAATGGGATGCTGGATGCTTAGGCTTTTGGAATCATTTGGTTGGGCGGTAGGAGTTTTGCGGGGTGGCCCCTCCTCCAACCCACACGCAAACCAGTTGGACAAGGTTTCAGAGCCTCGATCCAAACCAGTTTGGGGTGTCTCCCGGATCCAAAATGATAGGAATTAGTGAGCCGCCAGGCGATGATCATATATCATTATCATGTGTTTTCAGCAAACATTGACAGTTTGTTGGACTCCATCTCTTGATCACAGCGCCCTTACCACCCTTCCCCTTGCGTGGACCCAGTTCACTCCCATCCCAAAACCGCTCCCTCTTTCTGCTCTCTCTCCTCTCTCCTGCAGCGTCCTGCAGTGCCAAGGCTACTGACCAAGGTCGAAGGCATCGAAGGCCTTGCCCAACACTTCGGCTATGAGGCCCTCATAGACGCCCTGCTCGCCGCGGGAGCCGCACGAACCCCGCGCGCCGCAGGTGTTCGAACCCGCCCGTGAACCCACTGGACCTTCCACGGAACCTCCGATGTAAAAGTGCCAAAACGGGTGGATAAGTCAGTGAAGTGCAAGATCCTTGAGCTTCCGTTTGGTGGCCAATGCCTCTTGCTTGTACGTGAAATGGAGTGTGGAAGGAAGTAGATCAATGAGAGCGAAGGGTCTCGTACTGACGAAGGAAGAGTTATCCAGTACATCACATGAGCTGGGTCTTCCCCAGGTATGTTTCCAGTACCTTACACCTTCCGACCCTCCAGGACCTTCCGTTGGAGTTGGCCTTGGCGAATGCTAATTGACTTGCCTGGAAGTGTGGTAACTTTGGCTTATAACCTTCATAGGTCATATGGTGTTCAATGTGTTTCCTAACCCAAAGTCTCCTACGCCTGAGCTTTGTTGTACGTCTCCTAATTTCTGAGGTTAGCTCCAACTTGGCGTTGACTTAGCTAAAGGTGTGACTCGGCTAAGTCAAAGTTAAGTCAACAAATTCACACCAACTTGACTGGCTGAGCTTGATTTTTAAAGGTCGAAGCTCAGTCCAAGCTAAGTCCTGAAGCTAAGTCAGCCAAGTCCAACTGAGCCAAGTTTGCTAAGTTCTGAGCTAAGATCACGCTTGGTGATAGTGAACAAAGAAAAAAAGGTGGATCAGAAGAAATTCTGATTTTGTACTTGTGTTTTGCAGGAACTGTTTGTCAGAATTTGTTTCTGACACGTTTCCCTTTGGGATGTGTGAGGGGTGGGCTGATGATCATTGCTGACGCTCCGTGTGATGCGATAAACATGGCAGGTCTCATGTGCTTCAAAGGTGTGTTGGGACTCAGGGACTCTACCGGCTTAGCAGACTGAGCTGACTGATCTAAGTCATGCTAAGTCCAAGCTAAGTACTTTCTAAGCGCTTATAAGGCCAACTTAGAGTTGGCATTTAAACTGAAAGATTAGCTACCATAGCTAACACTTGTCCACCTGCACCCATGACCAGACAGAAGTATGTAATCAGCTTGTTTCTCTCTCTCTCTCTCTCTCTCAGGTCTCATCATTTAATGGCTGAAGGGCCGCTCCTTCAGTGCGATTCTGCCCATTCCAGTCCAAGTTTTTTGGAGAACTCTTCCGCGCCCAACAAACCAAGCCGAGCTCGGAATCTTGGAACCTCAGCTTGAGCGGCCGCTGCTCTTGGGCGGCTCATGCTACCGGTTCTTCCGGTTCTTGCGACGCGAGCGCAAGTGCTCGGTTCAGGTGGACACCTTGAGAAGAAGCCTGCAGAATTACAACGAAGCTGCGTGCCTTGGACGGATCAAACAGGGGCTGATGGCCATTTCTTCGGGCACAAACGACAGAACGGGGGAGGAAGCCAAGGAAGAATAGGGTCAGGTGCCCAGTCGTGGCAGGAAAATAGACAACAATAGACCCGTGAAGGTCCAGGTCTCGCGATGCTCATGACTTCAGAGCGCCTTTGCAGGGGTTCCCATGTCACTGTTAAGATGTGATAAGATGTGGGGCATCCTTGCACAACCTTGAACTCTTTTCTGAAAAACATTGGACGGACCTGAGGCATGAGATTATGGTGGAGTGGTGATGCGTGTTTTTCGTTTGATATGGTGTTTTTTGTTGTAGAGGCAGTCCAGCCAGTTCAGAATGACATGAAAGGATGTCAGACATGCTCATACCATTTAAGATATTTAAGGCTTAAAGGTGTAGAAACAAACCGGCCAACGATATCCTAAGGTGTCACAAATTTGGGGGGCTCGAACAAGTAACAACTGGGAGAGCACGATCAAATGAGACAAGACACGTTTGAAAGAGCATGTTCAAGAGCACGATCAGCAGTGCAGCAGCCCTTTCACCGCCAAATCCTGGACAATGCCTTTCGCGGGGCAAAAAGAATCTGACTTTTCGAGTGCAATATGGAATGTGTCAAAATGTGCCAGCTGCTTCCAAGGGGTTACCAATGGACCACCCCACACTGCTTATAGGTTTGTTGATATACCATGTATTGCATTTGTCACCCGGCCGCAGAGCGACATCGCCCAGCGCTCACTGGAGACTCCCCATCAGGGACATGCTAAAAACCGCTCAAGCGCTCATGTTCATTGTCCTAGGAGTAGGCGGATTCCCAAGGGAGACTGCCACAGCCAGAACTCATCACCAGCAGCAGAGCGTTGAAAAAAACATGTAATTACGGTACTGACGGTTCCTTAGTTATTTTGCTTTGTTATGTGGCGTTACATTTTTTCGAAGCATGGCGGCTGCAGAGTTTTTGCTTGCAGTACTTTTTGGGGCACAAGCCTGAATGAGACCTATTTTAGGTCGAAACTGGTCGTAGAGCAGCCCAAACTTAACGGCTTGAGAAGTGCCAAAAGAGCAGTGTGTTGACACATGGGTAAACCGGTTTCAGTGCCCCGTCAGGGAAAAAAGCACCAGGCGCCCTTGTTCGTGACTGACGCCTGAGGAAGAACGGCTCTGATGTCTTTGGGCGTACCGTCTTCCCGGAATATGTCATCGAGGAAACAGAGGATTTCTATGTTGGTGAGGCTCGTTTCGTGTTTCCTTTCACAACAGCAGTCCGTCCCTAGAGCCACACGTCCTGGTCACTGAAGTACTTGTTTGAGGATTTGAGGGGACTAGTTGTGACCATGAGAGGAGCCCAGTGACTAGTTGCGGCTCATGACCTCAATCAAGTGAGAACGTGGACTGTTCAACTGGTTGGGAAGAGTCACTGTCACAGAAGTCCAGGATACACTTTGGTCCCTTTGGCGGCTGTGGGTCATCACCATTCAAAACGACTAACATGTCCATATGCAAGACATACAACAGACACATTCCGAAGACAAGAAGTTGTTGATTGCAGGGTTGACACATAGGTTCAGCACATGGATTATATAAGGGTGAAATTGAGGTACGGAACTACCAGACCTGCTGGGCAATGAGGGGTGCTTGGAGCAGTGTAGATCGCATTTGTAACATGTTGTAACAGCTTAGGGTCTACCCCACAAACTGCAGTCCTTAGTTCGCGGGTTCTTTCATGGTTCTTTAAGATGTTCTTTGGTTAAAAATATATATATATATTCATTCAACATCCTAGATCGCATTTCCAATCGCCAACCCGTTATCTCTTGCTCCCCTCCACCAAGAGAAGTAGCTGCAGCACCATGGTCTCATACCCCCAGCATCTCAGATTGACCCTGCAGACCTTAGGTGTTCCCGGGGTTTGAAGGAACCTGTGGTCTTCACGACCCACGGGCTCTTTGCAAGGCCATTGAGAGGACTACTAGTAGCTAGAAGCTACTAGTAGCGATGCCCTTGTTACTAGTAGCGATACCCCTGCTACTAGTAGCTTCATTAAACAGCTTCCGGTGAAGCTTGCCATATTGACCAAGTCTCCCACCATGGTCCCAAACGGACACATCTTCGTGGAAACCTGTGGACACGGCGAAATGGTTCGTCGCGCGTGCGCCTGGAATAAAGAAGGAACCACGTCGTGTAGGGGATGAGAAGCCCTGAAGCCACACCGAACGACCGACACGTGGTGAACGCTCCGCTCGAACGCTCGTGCGTGGGGTCTGGACGTCCGCGCAGGTGGTGCCGGTGATTCACTACACCATGGGAGGAATTGCCATCAACATCGAGGGTCAGCAAGCTGAGTGGCGTCTTCTTTTCACATGCACTCCTCAGTAAACCCTTCAAACATCCATCAAACTTGCATCTTCAAACCATCGGACGATTTAGATAACTCCCCAAACACTCCATGCATGATATATACCCACAGTGTATGGGCTATACATTGACCATATTGACCCTTAAAAACATCGTAAAATCACCCTCCAGTCCCTCCAGTGATTGGTGAATATGCCATATGTATGCCATGCATATCCATGGATGGTCTGCGGTGAATGGCTTGCAAGAATCACGCTTCCTCGGAGTGAGTGAGTGAGTGAAAACAACCTGTTTGGTCAGACCGGAGTGAGTGTGGACGTTGGCCTTCGCCAAGAAAAGGGCGGGAAGGCCATCCACATCACGATGGTTCCGAGGGTAAGAGATTGATTCATTTGAATGAAAGGGTGGGCCATTGAGGGAGTTATTAGTAAAGACTGTAGAGGCTTAGATTGTCATGGAGTTTCAGGCTGGAGTTGAAGCTTGGATAGGTCCTACCTAGGTCCTATAGGTTGTGTAGCACTCATGTGTTCGCTTGCTTCAATCTGACATGGAAGAAAATCACTTAAAACTGTGTCATTTCGGACTCTTGACAAAGGCTTGAATTCTTCAGACCCTTTTGCCGGCAACTTGGATATGTGACCTTTTTTCAGATTTCTGGATGACCAAGTTCCCCAAAAAGTCCGTAGGTGTCAATGACATTTGCCACCGGACTCGGGGCCGTTTTGGTCGTGCGTGCCGTGCGCCTCGTCGATTTAGCGCGACGAATCGCTTCGAAAAGCATCGGAGTAGAGCAGTGCGTGCCGTGATACTACAAGGCCGCCTCTATAGAAAGACCCAATGTTCATTTTTCACTGATGAGTCTCTCTGAAAGGAAAACAGCAAAAAAGCAAAAAAACAGCCGTGAAGTCGGCTTTTCACAGCCAAGGTCAAGTCTTGGATGATCAAGAGAAGGTCATTTCAGGTCTCTACTCCGTTGGTGAGGTTGGATGTCATCCGATGTTGGCATGACACTCCATACGGGGAACCCCGCCAGCAAGGGTGTAGAGTATGGTGTAGTAGTGTAGTTTTAATGAATTGGAGGATAATGAATTGGAGGATGCACCCTGCAAGAAAAGTATGCGATGAACCACGCTCTAGCCTTCACCCTTTCTAGCATCACATGGAGTGCGCTTGGTGGATGAGAACTGGACTTCATCAACAGGACGGACACGATCCGGGAGGGTTGCTTCAGGATGCATTTTCTTTGGCACCGCAGAGAGATTCTGAAGTGTCAATTCTTGAGCTAAAGCAAAAATAACATATTCCCATAGAGATTGCCCAATTGATAGTAGAGAATAAGGGTATGACCCATCACTACTGATACCTTCGGATGTTTCCATCCCTCATTTCTTATGACTTTCAGCACCGGTCTTCCAATCTGCCGCGCGCTCGCTGCCGCGCGCCCACTGGTGGCAGGCCAGTGGTGGAGTGCATGGGGACAACCGCTTGGCCGGAAACAGCTTGCTGGAGTGTCTCTCGGCGCAGTCGGACCGTTTCGGTTGAAGATGAAAAAATATATATATATATCCAGTAACAAAGTCAATCAGCTTTTACATGACTACCCAGTCGGTAAGACCTGAGAATCTCAGTGATCAGATTTGCAACTGAGTCAACCCTCAGATCTCTGAAAAACCAGTGTATGCGGAAGTTCATTGCAACTAAAATGCAACAAAAAACCCTGAGATAGATAGACTGGCTTTGAAGGGATGCAACAAAAAGCATTTAAACAAAAACCGGCTTTGATTGTTCTTAGAGATACTAAGAACCACTAATTGTGTGCGTGTAGCACTGAGCAATTTGATGGTTCTATATCCCAACCAATTCTGTCCGCCGGGCGCGGCGTTCGCAGCGCGGGCGGGCGCCGACACCAGGCACTGTCTTCGGACGCCACGTGGGCATGAGCCTTCCAATCCGTTGGGAGCTCAACATCGTTGGTCTTTGGGTTCGGCTTATAAGGCTTTGAGGTTGTTTGGAGCTGTTTTGGAGCTGGCATGTATGGATATGTATATCTATATATACAGATCGTGTGCTTCATGCAATCTGAAAGTGGTGTTTGTACCGGTTATTGCTCGATGTGTTGCTTTGATTTTGGCTCTGCAGGTAGGAGGTTGTTACAACAACGCATTTTTCAAACAACAGTTGCACGATGTTGCACACGACTACTTCAGCCCAATGCCCAATGCTAATGTTCATCCATATTTATCCGATTCTTATACAACGCCTAAAAGGTGTTCAAGGTCAATTCAGGACTATTACTTAGTAGTTAGTGGTTTTGTTCAATCGTTCTTGGGGCTGCCGTGCTGGCAGTCAGTTCTTTCCATTGCATGCAAAGTGAATTGGAGCCGTGCTACCTGCGATGGTCTCCTTTGCAAGTTCAGTGCTACCGAGTACCGGGAACTGGAACTCCTTGGCACGTTCGCAAACGGAGGTTCTGCAGACCTTGGTCAAAAAGCATTTGCAGGACGGAGATTTTGCAGTGAATTGGGTCGTTCGGACTGTCGGACTGTTGTTTTTGGTGGTTTGGATGTTCTGAAGAGACGAAGGTACCAAGGGATTGCAGATGTTTTTGGAGCTGGAAATTCCCCTATGCTTCGTGAGCGAGTGCACCGCCCATGGATGGGTGAGACATGAGAGCCATATAGCTTCACTGTGCACCGTCTCCTGTATGCAGCACGATGTTCTGACTTGACTTCTGGGTCCAAGCAGCACATGTATTGCCGGTATTGCAGTATAGAGTTCGATACTGCTGCGGATGTGTGCTTGGATAGCTCAGTTGATTGTATTCAGCAACCTGAACTTCCCCATGAACCAGCCAGTGCAGACTTTGATGCGTGGACAGACCAGAGTTAATCATGTTGACTGTTGATGAATAGTTATACCCCTCAAATCCTGGGCCCGATTCGAGGAATTTGCTTTCATCCACCAATGGCGCCTGATGTTTTTGGTGTGAACTGGAATGATTTGGGGTACAGAGCTTCTTTGAAACCTCAACATGTCCTACCCTAGGTAGAAACGAATAGGCATCAGAGGTGGAGCGGACAGCTCAGATGGCCTCCAACCTACTAGCAACGGCTGTCAGTGGATAATCTTGAACCCTTTCTTTAGGAAATGCATGTCTCTCCAAAACATCAACAGATGGAATATGTGTTTCTTGGTTCGCGATGCACGACGCATCTCGTCATTGTCCTCGTGCGGGTCTACCCGAATCTCATGAATGGTCGGAGCCTCGGATCATCACTTGACTGATGCGGCTTGTAGGGAATGAGGGAATGGTTTCAAAGGAATCTCTATTAGGGGGCTCCTTCCCTGACTCATTCCCTACGAGGGGCTCCTTCACAGTCAGTCCGTCATGTGCCCCGCCTTTGCCCCGCAAGGTCTCTGGAGTCTTCAAGGGGTCGAGTCTCTGGAGTGTGGATGTGACGACGGGGCACCCAACTCCTTCCGTGGATGTTCGGCGACAGGGGCACCCTGACTCCTGGTTACCCTCCGTGCAACAATCATGGAAGTGGACAACCCCCTCTTGGTAGAGGAAAATCATCTTCCAAGGGGCCACTGTCCACTTCCATGATTGTTTCAGGGAGTGTATATCCCCAGGGATCCGTTTTCAACCTCAGGCAGCGGTGATGTGTTCGACATGTGTTCGACTGTAGGTGCGAGGGTCCAGTCGTACCGAACCTGAGAAGGTACTTGGATCCCTATAGGGGACCTGGTCCTGTACTGGGCGACATCGGCAGGACCCGGCTCTGACGGAGATCGCCAGCGCGACGGACTTCGCAGTGACCAGTACTGAACGGGGCATCCCACGCTATGAACATCCCCATTTGGTGGCGGCGCTGGATGTCTTGCTGGAATATCAACGGAATCGTGACCCTGACCCAAAACTCCAGCGAAACGTTTTTGTTTTTTGGAATGTGTGTGTGTGTGTGTGCCCTAATGATATAATTGCATGGTATGATACATGTCTCAACGAAAGATATTTGTGCCAGATGAGAATTTGTGGCCGTAGGAAGGACTTCAGCAAGATCTTTCCCTTTTTTTCTCCTCATGTTTTTAGGCGGTTTCCTGGCATCTTCGGGTTCACACGACTCTGGGTTGTTTCGACAGCCAGACTCGACAATGCATTCACATCATCCCATGACAGCTTCCTGAGAACGACTTCACGGTGGTGGTTTTGGATGTGTGAAAAGCTTTACTTGGGATGTATATTTGGCATCGATTCACATCTGTTTCGTGAATTGAAACCAACCAGGGAAGATGTTCCTACATTGACCATATTGACCCCTTTTCACTAAAACCACCGCAAGGTAGGCGAGTATTTGGGGTAATGATATGGGCAATTTGTTCAATGCCAGAGTTAACTAGCTGGAACACAAGTTTAAAAGTTTGAGTGCTTTCTAATTCCAATCAACCAAGAATGTGAAACATATAATTGCCCATGTGGGTGACTTGTCAATATTTTTGAGGCCTGAAGTTTGGGTGCACATTACAACAAGCAGAAATTGTGGGTGGGCTTATGACTGCAATCGGAAGCTGATTTTCTTCGTTTCCGGGCAAATCTAAAGGGCGCACCGAGGTTGGGTACAGCGCCTGAAGAACGAAGGCATGTCAATCAACTGCTCTTGATGCCACTGCCTTCAAGACCCTTCAAGTGTTGAAGTTGAAGATTGTGCTGTTACAAATGGAGCCGGACACCACGGAACCTTTAATTATATGTTTGGAGGCCATCGCTAGTAGCTTGGAGGCCATCGTTGGAGGCCATCGCTATTACGTTGGAGGCCAACGCTCTTAGGTTGGAGGCCATCGGAAGTAGGTTGGGGGCCATCGCTCTTTGGTTGGACGCCATCGCTAGTAGGTTGGAAGCCAT